TTATTAAAAAGGATAAGATTTTTAAATGGGGAAAAGAACAAGATGATGCTTTTAACTTGTTGAAAGAAAAGTTATGTTCTGCTCCATTGTTACAATTGCCTGATTTTTCTAAATCTTTTGAAATTGAATGTGATGCTTCGGGCAAAGGAATAGGTGTTGTTTTGATGCAAGATTCTAAACCTATTGCCTACTTTAGTGAAAAGTTAAGTGGAGCCACATTGAACTATTCCACTTATGACAAAGAGCTATATGCTTTGGTAAGGGCTTTAGCCACATGGCAACATTACTTGTGGCCAAGAGAGTTTGTTTGTTGATGATGAAGAAGACGGAGAACGTGGGTGGATGAGCCGATTCGTTTGAGTATGGACTGTCGATGTTATCCCTGTGGAGTTTTTTCCATTTCCTGAGGGGTGGAAATTTACACATAAGTGGTATACTCATGCCGTTGTAGTTTTTTAGTTGTGGCGAAGGCGGGCTCCGTAAATGCTTCTTCCTTTCCTTTTCTGTAGCAATTTCATGGATGGCGTGCGAGTGTCCCCCACCTGCTGGATTGGGCTCGAAAGTTGGCGACCCACTCGACTTATAATGAGCGTAAATGACGAGCTTTGTCTAAGGATAGGTGGGAGGCAAAACACCACGGTACGTGCTATGTGATTTGCTGCCCCCCCCCCCTTCTTGGAAGGGCACTTATTCTTTCTATGTACTAACTCAACCATTGTAGGCATTGGGGAGTTTTCTGAAGCTGGATCACGCCCTCTGGGAGAGGGAGAAAGACCACCGGCCTCAGGACCAAGGGATGACAATAATAGCACTAAGCAGAAAAGGCCTTTGTAGGATGACAATGATTGTAGCAAGACGAGTCCAGTCTGGAGGCTTAGAGAGGGCGTATCAGCTAAACCTGCAGTACCCGAGGTCTCTAGCTTTAGAAAAATGGTCCCTCCTTTGCTGCCATCTTTCTTTTCCATTGAAGGTACTTCGAGGAACGAGGGATCCTTGCCGTCGACTTCTTCTCCCGTCGATGGTACTTCGAGGAGCGTTCAAAGCCAGGGGCCACGCATGTTGGATGACCGTATGCCGACTGGGAGTGGTTCTACCGGGATAGATGGAGTCAGACCAGTAGATGTACGTTCAACTCTCGAGGAAGCTCAGCGGTTGTACTCAGAGGTAGATTTCGGCCATTCGTACTGGTTTTGTAGTTTTGTGATTTTCACTTTCTTACCACATTCTTCTTCTATAGGCTTTCAACAAGCTCAAATCTGAGTTGCTTCGCTGTGAGGGCAGATTGCGAAAAGCCATAGATGGGAGAAATACCTCGGGCTTCTTTGTGATGAAAGGGAAGATGAATTGACACACTTACGGTATGAGGCGAGTTGCAGTCTGAACAACGAAAGCTACCTCGAGGAACAGGTAACTTCTATTTCAAGGGAGTGCGCATTTCTTCTTCTATCTTCTGAGGCTAATGTTTCGTTTACTTTAGCTGCAGAAAAAGATGGAGGACCTAGAACGCCTTAGGAACGATGTTGGTCAGGCCAAGTTCGAACTTGATAGTCTAAAGGCTCGGGTGGACACCCAGATATCGGCTAAGAAAGATGCTTTGGCCAAGGCTTCCACCCTTGAAGTGAAACTTCAGAACGCTCACGAGAATAACTTGGTCCGATCGGACATGATTCCAAGACTCGAGTCCGAGCTCTTGAAGATGAAGGTCGAAGTTGTGGATGCCCAGGTTGAAGTCGGAATGATTCGAGCTAAGGCCGATAAGAAGGTGGTTGCCTATTTGAAGGAAACTACCGATGCTCGTGCTGAGCTAAGGGGGGCTCTCGACCGGGTGAGTAGAAAAAGGGAGTACGCGAGGTGTAAATCTCAGATGGAAACCCTTGAGGAAATTCATGCCAGGGGAATCGATCTCTCGGAAGAGATAAAGCAGGCGAAGGCGGAAGAATATGATGTTAAGTTCCTTCTATCTGATGCGAGAAAGAGGTCGATGGGCAATAGTCCCCGAGGGGGACGTAGATTAGGCCTTCCCTTTCTATGTATAGTGCTTTCAAAGAACATTTGTAAATGGAGCTTGTATATTTTCGCATACATTTATAAAAGGAAGCCTTGCGGTTTTATTTTTCATGCATTTCTCTTTGCTTTGTTTTTAGCCAAATAGACTGGACTTCAAGTTAAGAGGAACCCTCAGATTCATGTAATGGCCCTGGGGCTCATTGGGCTGGCCCGTAGGCTCTTACGCGCTTGGTCAGTACGACCTTTTAGTATAAGCCGACGTTTGAGCTCTTATGCTTTTGCTCTTAGTCATATTTAATCAACTGTTTTGGGTTCAGTCTCCAAGTCGGGTATCGACTCGAGCTTATTCGACCGTCAAGTTTTTGAATTTCGAGCTGGCTCTTAAGCTCTTTCGCGTTGGGTCGGTACGACCTTTTGTATCGGCTGGCGATAGTGACTCTTACGCGTTGGGTCGGTACGACCTTTTATATGGGTTGGCAATAGTGGCTCTTATGGTGTTGGTACGGCCTTTTATACAGGCTTTATTTTTCCCTCGTTAAGTACTTTTTGAAATTGTGTTTGCCTGACTCTCCGACGGTTCGATTAAAACCTGGATTATGAGTCGTTATATGGCGATGATCGAGCACCTCAGGAGGTTTGGCTCGGTGGCTAAGTATCTTGAAGCCTGTAGTTTGGAGCTGACATAGTCGAAGCTCTTTTGCCTATGTCTAGGGTAGCCTGTTTAACCGGTTCTTTTCGAAGTATTTTTGAAGTAATTGAAGGCCTGTGATTTTATAGCGACGATCGGGCGCCACCGAGACATGTTAGTTTGGCTGGTACAGCCTTGTGACCGTAGTCATTTGTGCTTGATCGGATCCTTTCAGTCCCCGAGTGAAGTAGTTTCGGCGTCTATATCGAGGGTATGCCTTTTTAGGGGTCTTACAAGTTCGATATATTGCTTTAACTTTAATATCGAGATTATGCTTTTAGTAAGGTCTTACAAGTTTTATGTGCCTTTGAGGTATTACAGTTTTGGCTACTTGGTACAAGTATGGTTCATGCCTTGCTTGAGGTCTTACAAATATTGTCACTTGGTATAAGTGTGATTCATGCCTTGCTTGAGGTCTTACAAATATTGCCTTATATAGGTCTTACGAGACCGAGGCTACCCGCATGTGGTATTGTGACCTTGGGTTTTGATAAGTCGATGGAGGTGGCGATTGGCGGCAGTCCCCGAGTCATCGAAATTTCTTGGCTAAGGAGCCATTATTTGTAATCTTGGATAGCCTCCTTGCGGGCTTACGATTTCGGAGTTTCCAACCCGGAGGTCATGAGGCCGTGAGTTTTTGACGCCAGTCCCCGAGTGCTCGGGCTTACGAGGGCTTACGAGTTTGAAGCTCATTGAGGGCCTTGTTGCCTCATTGAGGGCTTACGAGTTTGAAGCTCCGACCCGGGGGTCGCATTGTTTTGTGTCACAACTCCGGTTCGCCCTCCGTGAACCATCGTGACGGCACCTAGTCTCTACGACAAGGTAAGCCTAAATTGCGGAAGAAAAACCAAAAATTTGCGGAAGTAAAACAATTTAAAACAGAAATAAAGCAATAGCAGTGTTTAATGTGCCGCTCGACATACACCATATTAACTCTCAATTGGTACATAAATCCAAGACCAGGAAATCCACGAATCACAAGTTAAGAAGTACTACATAGCTCTAACTCCGGAATGTCTAAATAGAACAGAAAATACAGAAAGGGCTAAATACAAAAGCAGGAATAGAAAAGGACTCCTCGGTCTGCAGACGTGGCAGATGTACCTCGAAGTCTCTAAGCAATCGCCTCCCTCAATGATGGTAGGCCTGAGTAGCGGTACTTGGATATGCACATGAAAAACATGTGCAGAAGGGCCATGAGTACACCACAGTAACACTCAGTAAGTGCCAAGCCTAACCTCGGTCGGGTAGTGACGAAGAAGGTCAGGGCCCTACTGAGGTTAAACAAAAATATAAAGTTCAACAGTATGGAATAGGACATAATGAATAAGTGCAGCGGGGAAAATAACACAAAATATACAGAACAGCAACAACTACACAATAACAAGGTAAACACGGAAGAAAGTACAGCTCAACGCCAATAATATCGATCGGGGATCTCCCAGGATACCGTCTTGTAGTTCCAAATACACATATCTGATAAGTCTCCTGGGATACCGTCCCGTAGTCCAACTTATAGTGCACAGGGATCTACCGGAATCCCGTTCCGTAGTACCAAATTTAAATACCCAGTACTGGGGGAATCTACCGGGTGCATTCCCGTAGTTCCATATAACTATGCAGGGGGATCTACCAAAATCCCACATCCGTAGTCCCAAAATAAACAGACAAGGGGGAGCTACCTGAATCCCACATCCTAGTCCCAATGTAAATATACAGCAGCAATAAGAAAATATTCAAAATTGGAAATTTCATATTAAGGCAACAGTAATTCTAGCCTACCATGCTGCATAGAGTTCAGATAAATAGGTTGAACAATTAAAGCAAATAAATTACTTAGACATGCTTTCCTAAGCTAACAACAGGCTTAATAGTACAAGCAATAAAACAGGAAGAGAAACATACTAATCAATACTTAAAGAAAACCGAATTTCCAACAATTTGCACAAGTACGCACTCGTCACCTCACGTACAAGGCATTTCAATTACCAAATATATAAATCCTAAGGGTAAGGTCCCCCAAATAAGGTTAGACAAGCTACTTACCTCGAACCGGCTCAAAATCAACCCGAGACCACGCTCTTGCCACGAGTACTCGACTCCAAATGGCCCAAATCTATTCAATTCAATTGCATAATATAAATAACACTTCAAGTAACTGATTCTACAACTAAAGTCTAAGCTAATACGCGAAATTATGTAAAATGACCAAAATGCCCCTCGGGCCCACGTCTCGAAATTGGGTAAAATTTATATTTCTAGAAACCTCGCACTCTTACGAGTTCAAAAGTACCAAATCGGACCTCAATTTGTCCCTCAAATCATTATTCAAATATCTCCAATACCAAGCCCTAGTTTTCCCCAATTTTAACCCTAAATTGCCATGATTTCTGGCTCTAATCTGTGAAATAATAGCATAGGAACGAGTTTTAGGTCCAAATTCCTTACCTCAATGAAGTTCCCTTGAAATCCCTCTTTCAAATCGCCCAAAAGCTCCCAAGTCGTGATTAAAATGGTAAAATAAACCCCAAAGTCGCAGAACCCCCTTTAAAATAATCTGCCCAGCAGTTTACGGATCTACGGCCTTGGGATCGCTTCTGCGGTCCCGCATGTACGGAATAAGGGGTCGCATCTGTGACTTACACTTAAGGTCCAATTCCCACACCTGCGATTTCGCGTCTGTACGTGCGGTACCACTTCTGCGGTTAACTACCCATCTGTGGAACCTGCTGTTTCTCCACAACTCTGCTCCTGCGATCACTGAGCCGCATCTGCGGCACCGCACCTGCGAACCCAAATTGCAGGTGCGGTTATGACAGCACCAGCAGCTGAAGCTGCAACTTAAACTCCAATATTTCCTCCGTCAACCATCTGAATTCATCTCGAGGCCCCCGGAACCTCAACCAAAGGCACCAACAAGTCACAAAACACTACTTAAACTTGTACCAATCCTTAAAATACCTAAAACAACATCGAAACCTCGAATTAACAAAGGATTTAAGCCTAAGAACTCCAAATTTTCTCAAAATACGCTTTCGATCAAAAAGTCTAGCAAACCTCGTCCGAATGACCTGAAATTTTGCACACACGTCACATTCAACACTATGGAGCTACTCCAACTTCTAGAATTTCATTTCGACCCTCAGATCAAAATCTCACCATCGAACCGGAAACTTCAAAAATTAAACTTTCGGTATTTCAAGCCTAAATTTGCTACGGACCTCCAAATCACAATCCAAACACGCTCCTAAGCTCGAAATCACCTAGTGGAGCTAACGGAACCATCAGATTTCAATTCCCAGGCCGTCTTCAATGTAAATCCCAGAAAATTTTGCTAAGTAATTTAAGATTTCGTGGTGCCAAGCTAGGCTAATTATTTTATTTGGGTGTACAAATGAGGATTCATGATATAATGGATATCAATTGGATATGTTAATAAGCGTATAAGTCATATTATAAGTGATTTGGGGTCTAAGAAGAGGTCTAAGTCTAAGCCAAGTTGGAAAATGTTATAATAGACTAAAGTTGTAAATGAGTACGCACAAGACCTCACTTTGGACAATCATATATTTATATAAGGTGTGTGATGAACAACATATCAAATTAAATCTCTTTTAGTCTAGTTTCCAACGCATCAAACCGTTTGTCATTTGGAGGTGTAAACAGAAAGTTATGACTATTTACCGGACCTATGTCAGGTGCACGTCCGCGGCACGGCTGCGGGAAAATTGAGAGTTTCTGCCTCCCGAGCGCGGCCCAAGAGAGGCCACCGCGTCCAGAGCGCGGTTTGACCGCGGTCGCGCACCTAGCAGCCCTATAAATACCCCAAGACCGGGTATGGAGAGTCTCTAAGTCATTTTTTTGAGCTAGGGCTTGCTCTATCAAGGGGAATCCGTCCCATACTTCCGTCCTATGATCCAAGGTAATGTTTTTGGAGTATTTTAAGTTGATTACTACTCAGTCTAAACACTTATATTAACAAGGATTGATCTTGAAAATCCATAGATTCCCATTCAAATCCCTAAATTGGTCAAGTACACTACAAGTGGGGATTCTCGGGATTCTTACTACAAGAGGTATGTCTATCATCTCTAACTACTCTATGGTGATTATTTATGTATGATATATACGTTAGAACTCATGGGATGGTGATTGGAAGCCATAAGTGCCTAACCTAGGTTGAGTTGGTGTTGTAGAGATTGTGAAATGGATTGTAGAGATTGTAGAGATTGTGAATTGTCAAGGGGTTATGTTGTACATCTTTTGTTAT